GTGCAGGATGGCCATCCTGCTGAAACCACATGTTGGCACGTAATTCCAGCGGCACATTATCCAACAAGTCAACAAGTTCATTGTTGAGAAATCTTCGGTATTCGTCACCATCGATTTTACCATGAATGAAATGTGGCCCAATGATGCGGTCTCCAAGAATACCCGCCCAAATGTTCACTGACCACCTGACTTGCGTATGCGCTTGCTGCATCCAGTGAGGATTCTCGGTGGCCCAATAATGTGAATTATGGCAGTTGACGTTGCCATTATTATGGAAAATACATTCGTCCGAAAACAGAATGTATTTAGGAAAATAATAATTTTCCTCACTCACATTAAGAAGCCATCGACAATACCTCAATCTGCGAAGTTCATCATTTACTTGCAATTCTTGAGTCAGGGTGATTTTGTAGGGATGAAAGTGAGCCGATTTTAAGGCTCTACATACCGATGTCTGGCTGACTCCTTCATACTGCGCGACGGCTCGTGTACTAATTGTCGGGTCATTAGTAACTATTTCTTGTATCTGTGCGGTATTTATGCGCGGTAGTCGTTCTGTGCGAGATAATGAAAATAATGATAAAAGAACATAATATTTAAATTTGCATTATCAAAACAGCTTATACATGAATATGTACCCGCAGGCTTAATAGGTCTGAATTGTCCATATTTTAATAGTCGCGATTCCAGCCTCATAAAAAAATTGTGATGTGGCTGTCTTCGCTCTGGATATCTACGTGCATAAATTTTTGCAGTTTTCTGTGCTTTTCGACCGCACATGACATATCTTTACATTACAATTTTTTCTGTGCGTTGACTGAAATTTAAGTTTATGTTATGGAGTTAAGGGGTTATGCCTACTTGGGAAAGGGAAAATTACGTGATTTTCAAGAATTTTTTTGCCGTTTTAATAAGTATTTATTAAAATTTATAAAACACTATCAAAAAGTACATATTTTGTGGTACAGTCCAAATTTTTTTATAAAAAAATATTAAAAAATAAAGGAAATATGACTCTTCACTTACAACGTCCGTTTTTTTACATCACTTGCGGTGACCAAGATATCTTCGGAACGGCTTATCTGAAATCAAAATAAGAGAATATTGCATTAGTATATTGCAATACGAAGGGCCTGAACGAAGGGTTTGGTAAAATTTTGATTTTTACAAAAATAACAATTTTACGAAAAAGTCAATTTTTCGAGGTGAATTGATTTTGGTTATTTTGCAATAAAAAAAAATGTTTAATCGAAATAAAAAATCCTTCGTCCAGGCCCTGCCTATTGTAATAAGCACATAAAATTTGAATTCAATTGGTGCAATAGTTTTTAAGAAACTTTGGTCACCGCAACCGTATTTTTAAAAAAACATAGTTTCGAGATAATCGCGTTTAAAGTTTCAAATCTACGTTTTTCATAGTTAAAACTAATTTTTTTTAACTTACATAGAGTCATCTATTCCAGGGCCATAAAGGGTCCCTTCATCTTCAGCCACCTCCAGAACGTCGAGTTGATGTTGTCTTCGAGCCATCCTTTGCTCTCTAGTAGCTGCTTGTGCGCGCTGCTCGGCAATCATAACACGGATCTCATCTTCTTTTGTAACATATTCGTGGGCATTTCGGCCACAGGGCACGCCTAATGTCTCAAAAATCTTCAGAAGGGCTACGTTACCCTCGTTAAAAATACAGGCAGATGTGTATGCTGCAATTTTAACAGGCAGTGCACCGCCTGGAAGACTCTTCGGGCTGATTTTCCAGATGAATTGATTATAACTTTCGTTATTGTTCTGCGTGAATCCGCCAACACATCTATCAAGCAATTCTCTTTTTGAAAAATCCACGTAGATGGGCTTGATAGTTTCCAAAACATCTGGAGGAAGAGGCTCATACGTGTGCTTGAAATCTGCGATCTCGTTCTTTTTATCTTTGGGCAGCGCTGCGTAAGCTCTCTGCCACTCACACCACGAGTCACTTCCGGGCGGGCATTTTTCGTGATGCGAAGCTTCATCGGTAGAGCTGTAATGATTATATGTTGCCCAAATCGCACTTTCCATTGCTTCGGCCGAATCTGCGTGACGACGAATCGCTAAGCCATAATATACTGCCAATTTATTAATCATTTTTCCGGTCAATTTTCCCTTGCCTCCAAGCCCCTTATTTTTCTTTTTACACTCGCACAACCGAGTGCCCATTCGTTTTTGAACGTGTCCTACACATTCTTTTTTTATTACACCGATTTCTCCGTAAGGTGATGCTTTGAGAATTGCACTAAAAGTTTTGGAATCGCCGTCTCCAATATAATTTATGTATTTGACTCCGTGCAAATTTTCGGAACGTTTGAACATTTCTGTAATGCCATCGACTTCCATTTTTCCTGATGAACCAAGGTGATTGGTTGTACATGAAGATTCATGATCTTTCTTCCATTCTTCATACTCAGCTGTATCTAATTTTTTTGATCACAATTCACACATTTTGCAGTATGAACTTTTTACTTCGATATCTAAAATCTTGCCAATATAATATCCAATCAAGGAAGAAACTCCGAACAGTGAAGTAAATCCGCGTTTCTTCCATGTGCCATGACCAGATACTGTTAAATGATTTTTATTTGGTCCATCAGTTTTCTCTATTTCTTGCTTCGCAGCTAATTTTGTGAAAGAGTCGAAAACAGTTTTGACAGTAGTACATATGTGATCCATGATTTTATCATAAGTACTGTGATGTAAAAATAATGGCATATCCATAAGTCTACAAAATTTAGCACAACCCGCTTGTCCTAAGCCGAGCATTCTCATTGTAAAAATAAATCTTCTATTTACTTCGTATGAATGGTTGATATACGTGCACGAAGAAATGTTTCGCTGCTCACACTTATCACACATTACCGCAATTTTGAAGCCTAGTCCTCGTGTATCTGTTGGTGCAAATTTAATATCACCATCACATGTTTTGCACTTTACGAACTGTGAAAGAGCCGAAAATACTTGTACAAAATTCAAAATTCTGTATTCGACCAAATAATCAAGCGGCACGGTCACTTCTTCACCAAGCTTCATTTTCTTTCGAGACGCACTGAAACTATTCTCATCGGTCTCTGCGGTTTTCGAATTAAAAGATTGCTTCCTTTTTTTTGGTCTTGATTTGCGTGATTTTATAGATGTTCTGTCCTCGCGTGTAACTTTGTGATGATCCCCGGCCATAATTACAATAATTAAAAAAGCGGCAACTTCAGTAAATGCAGAGAAAACGAAATGAGAAAACTTAACGAACTTCTGATGTTGACCAGCTTCATCAGAGGCACTTCCACTGCCTGTCTTTTCCTCGATCTTTCCAATGCTTTCGACGACGTCATTCCGTCCATCCTCATCTCAGATCTTATCGACCTTGGCATGCCTCCAGTCTTGTGTCACTTCATTTATTCCCTTACTCATTCTCGAAATCTCCAATTCGTTTACAACGGAGAAGTATCTGATACTCGTTACACCTACAAAGGTGTCCCCCAAGGCTCAATTCTTAGCCCTATCCTTTTTAACATCTATGTTTCAAAACTCCATAAACATATAGGTAAAGAATGCGAACTGATTCAATTTGCAGACGACATCGTTATCTTTGTCAGCTCTCGTCACATCGACAAGGCCCTGGTGGCGTTGGAAAGCTCGGCGAATCAAGCCTCTAAATACCTCTCCTCCAGAGGTCTTAATGTCTCTCCCGCAAAGACTTCCCTCATAGTTTTTTACCAAGAAACGATCAATCCTTGCAGTTTCTCCATTAACCTTTGCAACACCGTTATTCAATCATCAGACACTCACAAATTCCTTGGAGTTATCCTGGATTACCGCCTCCTTGGTAACCAGCACATACAGATGCTTACTACTCGCTGCTCGAAACTCCTAAACATCATCAACATGTTGAGAGGTACATGGTGGGGAGGGTCTCCCCTCTCCCTCCTACTCATATATAAATCCTTGATCAGAGGATCCATGGAATACGCCTGCCTCTCCTTTCCATATAACAGCTTTTCCTCCTTGCGTCACCTCGAAAGCATACAACTCCGTTCGCTTAGAGCATGCCTAGGCTTGCGCAAAACTACGCCAACTAATGTGGTCCTCGCGGAAGGCGGGGAAGGTCCTTTAAGATTTAGATTTGAATACTTAACCTCCAGATACATTCTCAAAATCTTTGCCCTGGATTCTCATCCCCTTATTGATAAACTTTTTGGACTCCTTTGGTATTCACGTAAAACCCGCAAAACCAACCCCTCGGAAAAATTTTTACTCTTCAAAACATTCAATAAATTTCTCCCCATGAAAACTCATATCAAAAAATTCGACTTCCCGGCACTCTATTCTACAAATTACGACGCACTGACATTCTTTCCTCCTGTCATCATCACTTCTCCAATAGAATCAGAAAACATTAAAAACGCCTCTGTACCGCAACTCATCTTTATGGACATCTATAACGCTTTTATCCATTTTCACACCTGTTTTTACACAGACGCTTCCAAAAATAACCCCGAGGATTACGTAGGATTTGCCATCTACTCTCCGTCACCTCATCTCCAACTAATGTACAGAGTGCAGCCCTACTCCTCCATCTTCTCTGCTGAAGCCCTTGCCATTCTTCACACACTTGAACACATTCATTCAAATTCAATTTCTAAATCAGTCATCTTTACGGACTCCAAAAGCGTCTCAGACGCCCTTCTCTCCATTAACATGGCTCATTCCTATAACTATATCATTTTTTCCATAAAGCAAAAGCTCTACGAAATAAAACTTAACGGTTTAGAAGCCATTATCATATGGATCCCGGCTCACTCAGGCATTCTTGGGAACGAAACTGCAGATTTTTTAGCGAAAAAGGCCGTCTCAGCAGGAAAGCTAACGGACAAGAAACTCCCACATTCAGACTTCTTCTCTATTCCACGAAGAAGATACATCGAATCCTCTTCCAGACTTCTTAAAATCCAGGGGAAAAACAAAGGAGTGTCTTTCTTTGCAACCTTCAATGAAATCACACTGAAACCTTGGTTCCACAAACTCAAACTCGACAGAGAGAGCATTGTTACCTGCTGCAGGTTAAGAAGTGGCCACTACGCACTCAACTACAGCTTACACCGCTGTAATCTGGTTGCAGATCCATCTTGCCAGTGTGGATTCCGGTATCAAGACGCAGACCACATTTTTTGGAGCTGTCCTCTATTCAGCACACAAAGGACTCTCCTCCTCAATCAATTTAGAAGATTCAAGAGCTTGACACAACCTTACAAAATTCGAGAACTACTGGCGGAACCTTCCCCTGGACTTATATGTGCTCTCCTTTCCTTCCTAAAATCCTGTAAATTGCAGATTTAATACCATTATACTTTAATATTACCACCTTCAGTTTATCATAACTACACCTGTTGTTGGCCTGAATCTCACGATCATTTTTCGGAGGTGGCCATTTAAACTTAAAGAAGAAGAAGAAGAAGCTAACTGGCAATTATTGGAACGCGCCTTAAGGATAAAATTATCTATTGTAGACCCGGCCTAAATGTGTTTGAAGTATAGAGGAGGATACGCAAATTTGTTTTAACATATAGTATGAACATTACATGAGTATAATAAATATATTAATTTATTTAATATGTAATTTAATTAAATATTTTAATTCGATATTTATGTAACTCTAATTTTTGTTGAATTTTATGTGTAAATCTTAGATGTTAAAAATTAATTCACATAACTTGATATAAATAAAAGTACATTGTTAAACTAAATGAATAATTACTATAGTTAAAAAATATTAAATTATTATAATAAAAAAAACAATATATAATAAAATGTTTAATGTATATTTAATTTTCAGTAGCAAGAAATATTAAAGTAGCAAAAATGTTATCGACAATTGTGAAAGAACATCAAAACAAGCAAGTAGCGAGAAAAGAAAGACAAGGTAAAACAAAGATAATTTTATGATAAAAACAATTATTATTATTATATCTATATTAAAATGTATCAACAATTCAATAGAACAAAAACGAAAAGAAGCTGTTCAGGCTGCAAGCAATTTGACACAAGCTCTTGTTGATCATTTGAATGTTGGGTAAACAAACTTTTGTTTAGAATTTAATCTATGCAATAATAAGTATAAATATATATATATATAAGAAGAAAATATTTTTTATTGTTACAGAGTGGCTCAAGCATATTTAAATCAAAAGAAATTAGATGCAGAAGCAAAGCAATTGCAACACAGCGCAACCAATTTTGCTAAACAAACACAATTGTGGTTGAACTTAGTAGAGTCTTTTTCGAGCTCTTTAAAGGAGATTGGAGATGCAGAAAATTGGGCACGTAGTATAGAAGGTGATATGAGAACAATAGCCACTGCATTAGAATATTCATATAAAGGTATTAAGTTTAATAACATTTTATGGAACTTCATGTGCTTAATTAATAAGTAAAACATACACGAATAAAATTATTTTGTTATTTTTAGCCACACAAGAGAATCAAAGTGTTGGTAATGTTTGAACACTAAGATGAGGTTTATCATATAATTTTTCAATAATTTCATATATGAAAAAATTAAATTATTCAAGTTCTTGTAATTTAAGATATTAAAGAAACAATATTGTACGTAGCCATTAGACATAACTGTTTAAGTGTTTGAGTTAAAAAAAAAGATTTATTGAATTATTAATAAATAATTTAGAATACGTTATTCATTTTCTTAAAAACTTATATATATTCTTATATATAAGTCAATAAAAAAATATAGATATAAATTTTTTTAAATTTAATATTTACTCAGCATATACTTACATAAGATGTAACAATTTTGAGAAATCTTATATAAAATCAGTTTAAAAATTTTTACATAAATTATTGTAAATCTGGATTTATCAATTAAAGATTGATTGTATTTAAAGTTTAACAATATTAATTATATTATTAGAGTTATTGGTCACCATGTACATCTGATATAGTATCTTCATTCCATGATGAAAACATGTTTATTAATCTGTGATCTAATTTTGAATAATGACTCTTAATTATATATTGCATAAATAAAAACAAACATATAATCTTACTAATCCTAAGTCATATAAAGAGGGAGTTATTATTGTATATATTTAATTTTGTAACTATACATACATTAATTTTGTAACTATAAACTATACATTAATTTTGTAATTATACATATATGTATATTATACTATATAGTGTATCTTGTTTACATAATATTCTAAAAGAAAATTGCTTCTTTTTAAATAAATTGTAGTAGCTTTTATTAGCTATTACATGTCATATTTTTTGACATTTCATGGATCTGAAATATAGAAAAAATTTTTTTTTCTTACATATAGATTTACTTATAATTTATAATAGCATTTCATATAGCAATAAGCTGCAAATTAAAGCAGAAATTAAATAACCACTTCTAAAAAATTATTTCAGTAGAGCTGTTAAGAATTTTATTGCTGCAATAAGGCTACAATAAAAGGAAACAAAGCAATAGGATACATTATGCCAGAAATATTAATTAAGGAAAGCAAACAATGTTAAAGCAGTAAGCAGAGCTATATGTGTGATGACTGCGTTTAAGCATAAAGCACTATACAATTGCAAAATGTTTATTTAAATTTACCCAAATAATAGCTTTTTAAATATTGCTCTGCATGGAGTATCTCCTCACATGGATGTGTATTAACTTCCTTATATAATATATCTAAAACTGCTTTTACCGCCTCGATATCGTACATATTCGCGAGCAATCTTTCTTTGAAAGGCTTCAACTTTTCCACAAGTTGCTTATTTTTGGAAATAGATCCAATATGATTATGTAAAACCTCATTATACATTGGCCAATCGTTTTCACATGCTGGACAATCACAATCGAGGAAATAATCCTGTAATATTTTCTGCTTTCTCTCGAATCGAGGCATGTGTGCGTACACACCACCATAACTCGTGAATATCTGATCTCCGACACGTATTGGTGTCAAAGCACGCGTAATCATTGTAAGTCCTTCGAAATGTCGAAATGTATTTGGTGCACAAGAGTGATTGTATAAACTGTGAGCTATATACAAACCTGAACCTGATACAATTCCTGGTTCTTGTTGTATCTACAAAAAAAATAATACATTACCAAGTAATATAGATATATTCTGACATAAAGATAGGATATACAGGGTGGCCCCGAACGTTTCAGCCAGACTTTGAGATCTTATAGATCAAAAACCTCTGATGAAGGAAGAGCAAAAGCTGAAAAGAAAATGAAGCTAAATAAATTTCTTGAAAAAAACGTTAAAAATAAAAATCTTTTTCTTTTATGAAAATAAATTTTTTTTTAACTAACTTTTATTTTATTTTCATAAAAGAAAAAGATTTTTATTTTTTATTTTTTATCGTTTTTTTCAAGAAATTTATTTAGTTTCATTTTCTTTTCATCTTTTGTTCTTCCTTCATCAGAGGTTTTGAGCGATAACTTCTTAAGGAAGCATTTTTCAATCCATGTTTATAGAAAATTTTTTGTTCAGAATTAAATTCTATAAGATCTCAAAGTGTGGCTGAAACGTTCGGGGCCACCCTGTATAAAAAAACATATGTGGCTTTGACAACTTAATATTGAGGTGATAACATGAGGTATAAATGGGTGTTTTCCAGCTAATATGTATTAAATTACACTGTATAAAATTTTTGTTGGAATGATTGAATTAATTTCTGAAAATATTATCAGAATGCATTATATTCTTTATGTTCACTGTTGTTAATAATCAATATTACAAGTATTGCTGTATTGTTGTCCCGAATACTTATACATATTTTTTTTCAATAAAACAAAGAAAGCATTTAAAAAGAATATATATAAAATATATCGTCATTACAATAATAAAAAATAAAGAGGAATTCTAATAATCTATACTTATAAAATTAAATTCTAATAATTTACACTAATAAAATTAAGTTTATTTCAAATATATTTTTGTAAATATTATTGTAATATTTGATAGTAGAAGATTAACACATTTGTATTTAGTTTTTATGTCAAGCAGTATGACACTGTATCATAATTAAAACAAATTAAAACTTTGTATAAAATACAGTGTTACACTGTGTCTTCTACTTCTATGTCTCTTGGGAAACTTCCAATATGTGTATGTTAGAATATAATTATTAAAATATATCACTTACTGAAAAGCAATTAGAAGACATTATTACACAGGCACGAAACATTATACTGGCACAGAATTTAAGTTCGGAAAACTCGCTGATATCCTTCAAGTCATCGATCTCGTATTTCTTAGAGAAAAATTTCGTCTGCGTAGCTAAAAGAATTACCGCGAGAGCTGAAATACAAGCAAATGCGCTAATTCCGATTAACGGTCTTGTAGTCATATTAGTTGCCAGGCTCAATGCAGATCGTGCGCTAAAACTGTCTAATATTGCAGTATCTGTAAATCCTGCTGTTCTATTATCTAAAATAAAAAAAATAAAAAATCCATTATAACGATTAAATTACACATATACTAATAATTTTTATATTACAGACATGTACCTGGATTAGATTCCGCGATTTTCATATCCTGCTCCAATTCTTTAATTTTAATTCCATTTTCCGTTACTACAATTAACAATCGTATAATCTTCGAAATCATTCTTATTTTATCTTTATCAACATTAAGCAAATTGGTTAATAATTTTAAAATTGGACATTCTGTTTTATGGCACGCCTCCCATCCCAGTTTCCTACATTTTTCAGAACAATATTGAGCTATTGGACATTTTGCACATGGTATTAAATTGTAGCTTTTCGATAGACAATAGTGGCAATGCGTATAATATCTATAACAAGTAATGAAGATACGAAAATACATGTATATTTATATGTATTAATATATGTATGTATATACAGGGTGTATAAAAAGTACCGGGACAGTGAAATATCTCGAAAACTAAGCATTTCAGAAAAAAATGTTTCAGATAAAAGTTGTAGGATTTCAAAAGATCTATTTACTGGCGCTATGAGTTTAACCTTGGGCGGCGTTGCCAAGATCAGCAAGGTCACCTAGAATTTTTTGAATGAGACCCCCTATTTTTTATTGCATATTCTTGTAGCCCTTCTTCAGACCTTTTCAAAACACTATAATTAAGTTAGTTTTCATTAAGTACTTTCCGAGTTATGAGGCTTGAAATCATTTCTTAATTTTACATAATTTTATAAAAAATATATAATTACATATTTTTTTCTTTGAAACAACTATGTGTTTTCTTTACACCAATTGATTCCTCTCATTATTTTGTACATAAAAGTATTAAAGTAAAGTAATCGAAAAATGAATATTTTACAAGATATTTTACAGTTTATGTAAATAATAATAATATCTTGTAAAATTAAGAAATAATTTCAAGCCTCATAACTCAGAAAGTACTTAATGAAAACTAACTTAATTATAGTGTTTTGGAAAGTTCTCGAGATAAGCTACAAGAATATGCAATAAAAAATAGGGAATCCCATTTAAAAAATTCTAGGTGACCTTGCTCTGACCTTGGCGACGCCACCCAAAGTTAAACTCATAGCGTCAGTAAATAGATTTTTTGAAATCCTACAACCTTTATCTGAAACATTTTTTTCTGAAATGCTTAGTTTTCGAGATATTTCACCGTTCCGGTACTTTTTATACACCCTGTATAATATTCTTACAATAAGTAAAAAAATAAGTATGCCGCTCAAGTTTATTTCTCACCGTTCTTCATAGATTACATGTGCATAAGGATCCTCGATGCTGATTATATCACCAGGTTGAAATTCCCGTGTTGCTATGTAATGTCTACCATATCTTTCAGAGAAAGATATTGTCACACCATCACTAATGGCAGGGACTTCCTGACTTGGACCATACGTTAACTTGGAAAAATCATCGTTCTGTAAATATCTCGGTTTCTGTGGTAAGATTTTTGTTGTATAATAGAGGTAATTTTCCTCAACCATCGCATTTTGTTTTTTGGAAACATCAATCCACTGATCTTTCTTTATTGTTGTTTTATTCTCAATATATTCAACGTTTTCTTTTGGTTTCATATCAGACTTTTTGACACTTTCACCATGTAGATAGGTTTTATCCATATCATTTTGATCTATATTGATACCCTCTGAATCTATTTGCAACAACTTTTTTATTTCAATTATTGCTTTATCTCCTCTTTCCTTCAAGTTCTTCTGCTTCTCTTTTGGATATCCATGATGTAAAGCTGCATCAATATCTATTAGACATTCTTTATACAATTTTTTCCTGTATAAAGCAGCAGATCGATTTGCATGCGCATAAGCCATAAGTTCATTATTGTTAGCATATGCTAAACTTAGAGTATAACATTCTATAGCTTCCAAATCATCGCCCATTACAAAATGTTGATTACCTGATGTGTTTTGGAGTTAAAAAACAGTAATTATACATACACATTATTATACATTATATATATCTAGAAAAAACAGTAATTATATTATACATACACATTATTATACATTATATATCTAGAAAAAATATAAGTACCTTGTTCCCTATATCTAATAGAATCCTCTTCATTTTTCATTACAGCATGCAAAGAAGGCATTTGTGATCTGATCATATTTTGAAGGATGTGTCCTACAAGAGCTTCACATTCTTTTTGTAATCCATATCCAACATGAGATTTATTATTTTGCTGGAGGATTAATACAAGTTCCTTTGCTATCTCCATTATCTATATGTAATCCTTAAAAGATATCATTATACTTGAAAAATATTACAGAAATATACATAATACTAAAAATCAATTAGACATACTCTCTTTTCATATTTTCTCCTTTTTTTGTGTTTTAGATTTACAATTTACATACATTTTAATAAATATGTGTATATATTTAATAAAAAATCTCTTCAGTATATTTTATAAAAACTTATTTAGATTTTTACTTATAATGCCTCAGACTTTGTGTGTTGTTTATATGCGTATATATATATACTTACCACTGAAATTTTTAATTTCTTTTATATTTATAATATGTTAAAATTATTATATATATAAATATTAATCTTTTATATGTACATATACATACAAAAAATTTAATATATATAAATATATATATATGAATATTATAATTATTATTTTATATAAACCACAACACGTTTAGAACTATCCTTAAACAACAACCAAATGACAACCATTAGATAGAATGTACCGAGAGCATTGAAGCTGGTAGGTGAAACTAAATTTACCTCAAGCCAGACGACAAAAAAAGACTATGCTGTGCAGGAATAATTCGAGTATTCATTGTACATTCATGAACTGACTAAAAAGATACTAATAGATAATTAAAAAGTTTTTATATAATATAAAATGCACTACGGCCATATATTATTATCTGTGATTATTATTCTACTTTCTTCCTTATATGCATTTGATTTAATTTAAATAGAGTTTAATAGAAAAAATGTATAAATATAGATTACTGGATAATTAAATTATAATTTGTCGGCGCTCTTCAAATTTTTAAAGGCCGCGTTTTTTTTCTAAATTTACATAACATAACGTCTTGATGCAGTTATTAATACATGTAAGAAAATAATATTAATAAGGAAACACAAAGTAGTAAAACGAGTATTAAAAAAAAATATTTTTTTACTTATTTTCTTATTAAATATATAATAAAATATTTATAATATCATGTGATTCTATATAATCAGCATAACATTATCATACAATTAAACTTGTTATTATTGCAATATTGTATATGGTTAACAATCTTTCAGATAATGCATAATACTTAATTTATTATAAAAAAAACTTCTAAACAATTTATTTGTCAAATATAAAATAAAGTAAAAAATTTCATCCAATACATTTTCGATCAAGTTTGTACTGCTAATAAGAGCAATTTGGCAAATATCCAAACTTTAGTTCCATCCTATGCAATATTTAGCTTACGTTACTTAATCTTCAGCCTCACTGGCAATTTCAGTTAATCAACTTTAATTATGCTGATTAGTCTTATTACTAACCAGATTTGGAATCCTGTAAAATCTATTATTGTGAAATAATGCAAAAGTATTATAGTGTTAAAATATATCAACTAAAAAAGAATCTTAGACGCTAAATTAAAAAGCTCTATCATATTGCATTATATTTGCACTTATAGATATGTTGATGTAAAATTTTTCTCTAAGCTATTCTTCATCATAGTAATAATAACAGTATATATTTTATAAATTGTATGTATATCAATTGCAATATGTGTGCATATATGCATGCACAAATATTTATATATAACATTTGTATATTTGCTGTATATTTCAAAAATATTTATTTAGGAGATATTCACTAATAAATTTTATTCAGAAATAGGATATTTCTTAGGAGAAATTGCATCATATTTAGATAATGTAACAACAATGTAACTTAAACTTTATTTATTTATCAATAATTTTAATAGAAATTGCAATGGCAAATGATAATAATACAATGTAGATAATTTCTTTAATATTATATTAAATATATAATAATAAATTCATTACTGAAAAGATTAATCGGATTCTTCTGATTCCAAATTTATACGGCTACCAAACTTTGCATATAATTGTGTTTTTAATTCGCTCATGATAGTCTTCAACTCTGTACATTTGCTTTCCAAATTTGCAATTTCTGATTTTTTCTTATTCTTAGCATCTTCCAAACAATTCTAAGAATAGAAAAATTACTATTAATATTAATATTGATATTGAATAATATTGATTATTGATAATAATTCTAACATAACGATAAGAAAGAAAGATAACAATACATCAAACCAAAAAAGTGTTATAAAAAGTTGTATAGTTTTTAAGAAATTTAAGTAAAATATTTAACATTTTTCTTATCACAGATATATAGAATTATAATTGGTACTTTTATATAACATATATAATTACCTGTGTCTTTTCGAGACATTGATAAACAAATACTTCTCCAATATAATATGGTATTTTTACATCATCATCCATAAGAGTCAATTCGTCAGAAGCATCTTCCAAATTTTTCAATTCATTCTAAAAATTTTAAATAATTAATTATTGTTATATATATAAATATAATATATATATATATATATATATATATTAGAATTTAATCTAAAATCTTGTATGACCAAATAAGGCATGATTAACAGTGTAATCAAAGAATTTAATTTGAGTTTTTTAATTCTTTCAATCAAATTACCTGCTTAATTTTAAGCTCTTCTTTATAGTCCTCCAACTTTGCATTTTGTCTTGCAAATTTATTAATTTTTTGTTGCTCTTCGTAAGTAATATGAACATCAGAATCCTACAACACCACACAAAATAAATTAGATCATAAATATATGAAAAATTTGATACCAATTTTATATATTTGATTTTTTTCCTTTTAATATTTCATATTAGTTTACCGGCTGAAATCCACCTTGATTGCTTTTTCCTCCCTTCGCCATATTTTAATATTTTTCTACGATTTGTATAATTTTTGCATCAAAATAACTGTTGAAATAAGTGGCGAGGTTGAGTTCGAAAACCCCGTAAGTGTAATTTCACGAACGTTGATAACGCCATCTGAAATTTTCTGTCAAACAATGGAAATCAAATGGCATCCTTTTACATGATATCTGATGGTATGAAAGAGTAGTATCCATATTATAGACGCAGAAAATTTTTATTTATATTTCCTATTATTATTTTCTACGTGATTTTATAATTCTTTATTTTTTAATTCTTATTTCTTAATTTTTTTTAAATTTTTATTTCTTCCTAATTTTTTATTTTTATTTTCTATATATGATCCAGATCACAGCAAACACAGAATATTGCAGCAATATTGCGGCAATATTACAACATTGCAACAATGTTGCCGCAATGTAGCTGCAATATTTTGGTTTGCTGGGGATGAATTTGCATACTCTTGTATATTGTATTATATAAGAAAATAAATTATATATCAAATACAAAAAAATGACATTATTGTATCTTTTACACATACGCATGATTAATTTTTCTGTGCAAATTTGTCTTAATTTAAAACTTTTACTTTTTCATTAACAAAGTTAAGTGTTTAATAGGATAGGTAAATAGAATATATCACCATTTATTTCTTGTCAAGTATATAAAGAATATCTCATCATTATTTATTTCCTATCAAGTATATAAAGATATTAAAATTTAAAAGATTTAATGTCTATATTTAAGGATAAGCTAAAGACAGAAAAAAAGAGATATTTTATATGAATCATTCGTGAGTTTATACATTTGAAAATTTAAATTAAAAAAAAAATTATACATATACATATATACATATACATATATATATATATATATATATGTATACAAAAAAATGACATTATTGTATCTTACATCGTACCTAAGGTCCGAATATAATGTGTATAATTAAAGCAAATTAATAGCTGAAATTATGTAGTATGGATTTATCATTATTATTATTAAAGCTACATATTTTTTATTATTATTATTATTATTATTATTATTATTATTATTATAATACATATTATATTCGATACGATCGATTCAAATAATTGACATTTATGTACCAATCAATTTATTATACAGTCGATAATCTCTCGCATGATAAAAAGATTGACACAAGCATTAAAATTCACTCTGTATATATACAGTAACAGTTTCTTTTTATCCATTTGTTTAGATATATACACAAACTCAAAAAATTTACATCAAATATTGTAATATACTGCAGTTCTAAACTTAATGTCAATTTTGGTAAAGGAACAATATAATGAAAATAATTAAGAAATAATTATTTATTTATTATTAATTTACTAATTTTTATTTATTATGTATCAGTTATGTTTATTGGCCTTTCTACTGGCAAATGTAAAATCTGTTTGCCTCTCAGAGAGAGAATCTGAATTCAAAATATTTCTTTCAGCTCTTCCAGATCTGTCAGTTTTTGCTTCTTTCTTGTGTAAAACTCTCTCCAATTTTAATCGTAACATATGTTCTCTGGCAGATTTCAATTTCCTAGTTGGTACATACTGTAATGCTTCCTTCCAATCTTTTGTATGTCTTAACTGTAATAATATATCCATCATTTGATTGATCGTTAAACTCTTTCCTGAACTAGTACCCCAAGGAAGATAATTTTCCAAAGGCAACTTGGCCATCTGTATACCTTCTTTCTTAGCTTTTGCCAAAGATAAAGGTTGTTGATTTTGCTAAATAAATAAAAAATTAATTTAATATATATAAACATAATATATAAGAATATACAGGGTGTGCCAAAAGTCTGGATACACCTAAATATCTCACAAACGCTGCATTTTAGAAAAAAATGTTTCAGGCAAAAGTTGTTTGGTTTCGAGGGGACCATAAGATGATACCATTGGTTTGATCTTGAAGAGTCATTTGAAGGTCACGCAAAGGTCACTTCAATTTTTTAAAATGGAACATCCTATATATTTTTATATATTCTTGTAGCTCAACTCGAGATCTTTCCAAAACACTATAATAAAGTATTTCTTCACCGAATACTTTTCGAGTTATGAGGCTTGAAATAATTTCTTAATTTTACATAAACCATAAAATATCTAGTAAAATATTCATTTTTCAATTGTCTTACCTTAATACTTTCATGTACAAAATAATAAGAGGAATCAATTGATGTAAAGAAAACATACAGTTGTTTTTAAGAAAAAATATGGAATTTGCAATCAACAATTCCATTTTTCTTAAAAACAACTGTATGTTTTCTTTACACCAATTAATTTCTCTCATTATTTTGTACATAAAAGTATTAAGGTAAGATAATCGAAAAACGAATATTTTACTAGATATTTTATCGTTTATGTAAAATTAAGAAATTATTTCAAGCCTCATAACTCGAAAAGTATTCAATGAAGAAATACTTTATTATAGTGTTTTGGAAAGATCTCGAGATGTGCTACAAGAATATATAAAAATATATAGGGTATTCCATTTTAAATAATTGAAATGATCTTCGCGTGACCTTCAAATGACTCTTCACGGTTAAACCAATGATACCATCTTATGGCCCCCTCGAAACCAAATAACTTTTGCCTGGAACATTTTTTTCTAAAATGCACCGTTTGTGAGATATTTAGGTGTATCCAGACCTTTGGCGCACCCTGTATATGATGTGTATACACAAGTATGTGTGTGTATAAATAACATTTTATCAATTTACCTTGTCTACTATTGCTCCAAGGATATATACCATTTCCGGATTGTATTCAGTCATATTTACTTTACAATGTGGAGTAAGATATATTAATTGATTTTTCGGAAATAAATCTAAATAAGATTGAGATGTTACAGTTAATGGACAATCATCATCCAGTAAATTAGGCATAAAGCTATTGCACTGCTGCAAAAGTGATCCTGCTTCATTCATATTACAAAAATAGAGAGACATAGGATTTATATGAACACGATTGGCGGCAAATGATAGAGTCAGCTGTTTAGCGCAAGCATGTATCTCACGCGGACTCATATATTCCTCATAGCCGCAATCAAATACAATTTTTGGTTCAAACATCATAGCCCGAAATACTCTGCTATTATAATAGCGATTCATGGTTGATTCGTATATACGTAGAAATAATGTATTATATGAAAGTCCATATTTCATTTCACCAGTATCTTCAATTTGTTCTGCTTTCTTAGCAAGCGCTTCAGTTTTCTTCAATTCTTTTTTCGCCTTTTGACTTAACGCAGTCATTTCATTCAACCACAAAAACTTGAGATACCTTCTATACAATATTGAAAAAAGAAATATTATTAATTACAAGACATTCATATTTAATGTTATAAAGATATCTTCGGAAAAAAATGCTTACTTTCTTTGTGTCTTGGTCGTTGTTTTTAGTAACGTCAACCAGTCTCTTGGCTCAATTTTCTCAGGTACCTTTTCAGCATTGTGTCGCAGAACGTCAATCTCCAATTTTAATATTTCAAAAACTTTCTTGTTTTCAGGATTGGATAAAAATTCGTCAAATTCCTGTTGTATTTTTTCTTTTATATTAATATTTGTTCGATCTATCTGTTGGATCGTAGCTTGACAATAGGATCGTTTACTCCAATGAATATTTACACGACTATCTATCATACGTGATAAAATATTTTCGTGAACCGATTGTGTTAAAAATGTTCTATGAAATTTTACTGAGACAATTAGACATCTTCTCATATAACTATACATTTTAGAAATGTAATATTTCGTAGCATGAGAAAATGTTACTGTTGTCACCAACGAGATATTGGGTGCTTTCCAGCTATGGTAACACAGTGATACACTGTGTGACACAGTGTTACACAGGGCCTGTTCTTTTTAGCTGCACTATTGCACTAGTGCAATTAGTTAGAGTGAAAGAAAGTATGTTTGTCTCTTTCCAACTTACTGCACTAGTGCAGCAGTGCAACTAAAAAGAACAAACCCACAGTGTCGACTTGTAGCTGGAACGCTTTTTAGCTATTTTATTTTGCCACTAGAGTGCAGGGCAGTCACTTTTAATAGTTGTCACTAGGTCTAAATTTTCAGAACGTTCCCACACAACATTATGTCGTCTTAAAGACGTCTAGATGTCTTTAAGTCGTCTTTTAGATGTCTTTTGGACGCAATATCACGCAATACCATTCTTAAAAAAATTAATGATACCAAATATGAAATGTTATGTTGGCACTCACTGGGGTGCTACAAAACGACGACACAGGCGAACACAGCATTTTTGCTGTGTACGATTGTGTCGACTTGTGTCGTAGTTGGAAAGCACCTGTGTCGACACTGTAGCGACACGGTGTCGCCTGTGTTGCTTGCTGGAAAGCACCCATTATTAAAGACTGATATAGTGTGTTCGAAAATATGTTTGGTTGGTGTTGGGAAAAAAGATAAAGTTGGCAGTATTGAAAACTCCCAGTGCTGCGTTTCGTTTCTCCCACTGGGATCATTAAGATTGTATTGTATCGTATGTACAATATATAAAAGTGTTGCAATTATATTAATTATTATTATAGAACAATATATTTTACTCGAAAACATCATTTTTGAATCTTCGAGTAGTTCTTCTTCAGATGATGATAATAATGAAGAATTACAAAATATTTGATTTGAAAATAGAGGTAATAACAATAGAGATGAAAGGAAAATAGTATCAAAAATAACAGATTATTTGGAAAATGTTGTTACCAGATATACAAATATTAAATTTAAATCACATTTTAGGTAAATTATGTCACTTTATTATAATTATAGCATTATTAATATAAAACACATGTTTGTATTAATAATAATATATGTGATGTTATTAAACATATTATTATAAAATATATTTAACTACTTATTTACCTCTTTTAATATCTCAAGTAGCAAATTTTTTTAATCCTAGTGATCCAGTGGGAGAAACAAAACGCAGCACTGGGAGTTTTCAATACTGCCAACTTTATTCCCAACACCAACCAAACATATTTTCGAACGCACTAATAATCTTGTGGAATTTAGCGTGATCAGAAAAAAAAACGTGCAAAATGCTGCTGTAGGTAACAAAATCCTTATATTGTCGATAATAAAATAATGATTTGATACATAATTTGTCATTTTTGAGACAGGTACATAAAAAATTTATATATGTTCGATAATAAAACAATAGTTGAATGACTAAAATACACTTATGATTTAAATAACTCTTGTAATTGTTTTCAATATAATCAAAACGGCCGGTAATATCATCAATCTTCTATTATCTCCGGACTCACCGGGCCTACTTACCCCTAGTTCCACAATCTAGTTAATTCGAGTTTGGGTGTGTTCCAAAATTCACTTCCAGCGCTGAAAATCTATAGTTCATGTTACGTATATTATATATTTTCAGCGCTGGCAGTAAATTTTGGAACATAGGCTAAGTAGTGAATGGACCAATCAGGACCCAGTTTGACGTATTAAACTCGGATTAAGGCCCAGTTCCACAATCCAGTTAATCCGAGTTTAAGTAGCGAATGGACCAATCAGAATCCAGTTTAACGTATTAAACTCGGATTAACTCGAGTTGTGGAACCGGGCCTTAGGGCCGCTTCGACCAAACTCCAATTAAAGGCTGATTTATAGAGACCGTAACTGTAAAGGTGCTGTCACATGACAGTCGGAATTTCGGAAAACGGAATCTCGGAAAAGTACTAGAATAGTCAACCAATCAGAATTTTTTTCCAATCCAATTTTTCGATAGCCTCGCTCCCCATGGAATGATTTTTTACGGAAAACAGACTGTTATTCTAACCTCAAATTGTTTTTCAATTTAGAAAATTTTTTTATTATTTTCTGTTATAATAAACAATACAAATGTCACTTTTTTATATATTTTTCTATTGTATTATTTTTTTGTCGGAAAACTATCAAAATACATTTTTATATTTTTACTAATTTCCGAAATGCTCCGAAATATTAGTTTATGGGGAGCCCAGCCACAAAAAAACCGGACCGACAAACACGCAACTTTTATTCTTAACAATATGATAACGATTTTATGTGATAAAATATTTTGATTAAATATTTTATCACATAAAATAGTTAATAGAAAAATATATAAAAAAGTGACATTTGTATGTATTGTTTATTATAACAGAAAATATAAAGAAATTTTTTAAATTGAAAACCAATTTGAGATTAGAATAACATTCCATTTTCCGTAAAAATCATTTCATGGGGAGCGAGGCTATCGAAAAATTGGATTGGAAAAAATTCTGATTGGTTGATCACCATCTAGTACTTTTCCGAGATTCCGTTTCCCGAAATTCCGACTGTCATGTGACAGCACCCTTATGATGAATTCGCATTCGAGTATGATATTCCGAGATCCAATAGGAATATGCGCTTTCTAGGGACCAGTGATATTTTTATTCATGGAAAAGAGAAATTTTTTCACATGGTACATACATTCATATTTATCTTCTTTATTTCATTGTTCATGGTAATCAACGAAATACGAGGTTCTCCATCGGCCACCATTTGCAATCGTTCATTTGCATTCGTTGTTATTCTCGTCGGGTTTTCATTATATTCAGTGTCATCGCCTTGGTAAGAAAACTCGAAATTTTTTCTGTAATATTTAACAATATTATTTCAATAAATCGGACCTTTCGTTCATTATTTTATGAGACTAAAAATATGATTTGGCGTCGCGGATTTTGGAGACGCTCCAGACAAGCGTTATCCGCCACGTTGCCTTTATATTGAGTATTTAGCAAAATAAAATAAGTGTAATTCTATTATATGTTGCGTGCGTGTGCGAGTTATAATATATACTTGCAATATTTTTCTATTAATGCATAATTATTAGCTTTTAAGATTAAACTCTTGTTTATAATTTTTCATGGATGTGTACGTAATACCCGGCATATATATCGTTCCTGTTACCTTCACATGAATTTTATTTTATATTTGTGTAAGAGTTTTATTAATATAATTGTTTTATTAATATTAATCATTGTTATATAGATGTGGTTGTACATACTTATTTATAATTTTAGATATTTTGAGTTTTGGTCTTGTGCATTTTTTGTGCACAAGATAATTAAAAAAAAAGAAAATAATTTGAAAAAAAGCTCAAAACTTTTAAAAAGAAATATACACACAGATTATTGAATAAGTTTAACATTTTTAGTTTATTTTTAGTTTCATACATTAGAGGGACATATAAATATTATTTTAGAGCACTTTTTAATAAAGGATAATTCTCAATAGATAACGATTGGTTTATTTAAGTGAAGAAATGTGTATTGGTTGTTGTGGAATTATTTTCAGATCAAGGTTGTAAATAAGTAAAACTTGTTTAATGACCTATATATACAGGGTGGTCCCGAACATTCCAGCCAGACTTTGAGATCTTATAGGAAATTTAATTGTGAACAAAAAATTTCCTAAACATGGGTCGAAAAATGCTTCCTTAAGAAGTTATCGCTCAAAAACCTCTGATGAAGGAAGAGCAAAAGGTGAAAATAAAATGAAATAAAAAGAAAATGAAACTAAGTTCAGAATTAATTTCTTATAAGATCTCAAAGTCTGGCGGGAACGTTCGGGGCCACCCTGTATATATAACTCTATATAGATAATTTTTAAAAAATGTGACTATTCATCTTAAAATATTTACTGCAGCATAAGCAGCACGATGTCGTTTAATCGAGGAGTGAAAAGAGATTCCTTTGGAAATCGGGGGAATTTCAATCGGGGCGGTAGCGGAGGCAGTGGTAACAGAATCGGCAATAACATGGGTAACAGCAACATGGGAAATAATATGGGTGGAGGAATGAGTGGTAGCGGCGGTATGGGAGGAATGAATCCTTGGGAAGGTGGTATGATGCCTGGCAGAGGCATCTTACCTACACCCAATAATAATCTCTCTCTGGCATCGCCACAGGCACAACTGGCTATTGCTAGTAATCTTCTTACAAATCTTCTTCGCAGTCAGCAAGAAGTGCAACCACAGGTATTGAGAATATTTCCATTTTGAAATTTTACTTTATTTTATGATTGTTTTAATTGAAATCGGTATATATTAATGCAGGTACCATCCCTCATGAGCCTTGGAAATAATTATTCTGGACCAGGACCAAATTATCCCAATCAACAGAACTTTTCCTCAGGACGGTTTAGCGATCGACCAGCACGGCATCCTATAAAGAATCAACGTCCTCAGCCTTACAACAAAGTAAGCGATTTCATGCAATACGCAAGACTTTTATAAGGAAACATAATCTTACGACACTTCTTTTAACACTTGCTTACGATCTTCTTCTGTATCGTAAACAGGAGTTGTAAATTGACAATGTTGAGTTCACCCGCTTCCTTGCGTGGACACAAATTGTCTTAATTATTCTGCACATACAATTTATTACAAATTCTTCTTCTTGTATCAATCGATTAAATAGGATATATCGCTCACTCGATTAGACGTGGCCGACGAAATCACTAAGATATAACTAATTCTTGTTGATGGATCAGCCTTGTCTGAACGATTCCTACATATCGCTCACAAAAATATTTCATTAAAAGAGCACTGTTGAAAGACGTGTGTTGATTTTTCAGAATATAATTCTCAATTTATTATATCATGGTAGTTCATTGGGGAGATTTTTGCAGGACCAAATTTGAAACTGACTGTTGCCTCGTTTTATAATCTATATAAACAAAGTCTTCTGTCCACTAATATGATATTAAAATCAATGTGGTTGCACTTTATTCAAAACTACTACTGCTTATATACACAAGTTGCATATTTCACTGATTTTTATTTAACTTCGTCTTCACGTTTATTAGTATTCATCGAGATTTTGCTCAAGTATTTTTAGTGGGAAAAATTATATCTACTTTTATAATTATGATCGTTGCGATCGTGCCTTATATACACGATGTGAATGACATCCTCGATTCGAAATCGGGATGCACTCAACACAGATTTCCCCCCCTTTTTGCTTTCATACTCGGTATATGAAATGGAAGAAAGAGTTTCGGTATTTTACCGACTCCGTTCTGCTTCCATTTATCGACCATAGAACTGTTTTCTCCCTCAAATTCTCAAGGGTGGTTTCTAGAACCAGTGTCTCGATTTGAGAAGAATCACAGTTACATCAGATACTTCTCATGATACTTTTTGGTCGGTTGACCTCTACTACTTGAATAGATGGGCAATCGAGCCCGAGATGGCCCTGCTGGGCGGCGTGGCCCATCCGCACAACAATCTCGTGCACCCCAGTCTGGCAGTCAACGTATGAACGGAAACCAAATCCAACATCGCAACGATAAATCTTCTAAACCAATTCCTGCCTCTAAACAAAATCAGACTGCCAAAAAGGAACAGCAGGATGTTAAGACTTCTGATAGCGAAAAAGCAGAACCGCCTGTTCCGAAAAGGTAAGCTCCTGATTACCTGTGATTGGTATAGTTTCTTCAAATTTCAGTAAGTCTCAGTCTCTCTCCAAACTATTTGCCTATATATATATATATGTGTGTACATATATACATATACATACGATTTATATATGTTTCTTGATATAGCTATATATTATATATATAGTACTAATTTTAGAAATTTCTCTCTTTTCTAAATTTTCCTTTTTATATACATTTATCTTATGTCATTGACGCGATTCACCTTACATCCAAAAATAAATAGATATTCACCAAAATGCTAACAAATTTTGCAGTGTTCTATCATTTTTTTCTATAAATTCATCAAAGCGAATTTTAACAGATATTATTCTATTTGACAAAATATATCATCTACATTTAAAGTATATTAACGAAATGTATGAATTATACATTTATTGACATATTTTGATGTAATCAGTATTTTTTTACTTTCATTAGCAAAATTTCGTACACATGAATGTTATAAATTAATCAATTATATTATAATTTCAAATCAAAATAAAAAAATTTTATAACGGATTTAACATAAAATGATCGACTAGAGCAATTGCAAAATTCCTTCAGGATAAGAAGCTTTATTCTAAAGTATATTATTAATGTATATTATTTAAATGATAAATAGTGACGATGTGGACGAATCCGAGGGCAAAAAGCGCGATTGGAAGGATGAGAAAGGAGAAGTATCTGTAAAAATAAAATCTGAAAAAACAGAAGATGAAAAAGCAGAAGATACCGAGAAAAAGGTGGAAAACCCTGTCATTGTGGAAGACTTCACAACAAAAGAGGTGAAAGACGCAGTTGAAAAACCCGAGAAAGAAAACATGAAAACGACTGGTAAAAAATCAGAGGCTAGACACGCTGAGAGTCGTTACGCCGAAGTTCCGATGAGCCACATGTTTTGTCACATTTGCAACAAGCATATGTGGGATGGATTTGTACGTATGTTATTATGAACAAAGGTAACAAATCTATACAGGGTGAGCCATTTTAAGTTATTCACCTCAATAACTTTTTTTATTTTTGAATGTACAACAAAATGTTTCAAATAAAAGTTGCTTGACTTCGAGGGGGACAAAAGATGGTGGCAAAAATTCGACCTTGGATAGTCATTTGAAGGTCACATAAAGGTCACTTTCAATTTCTTAAATGGAACCTACTATTTTCATTGCATATTCTTGTAGCTTATCTCGAGAGCTTTCTAAAACACTATAATAAAATATTTCTTCATTGAGCACTTTTCGATTTATGAAGGTTGAATTCATTTCTTAATTTTACATAAACCATAGAATATCTAGTAAAATATTCATTTTTCGATTATCTTATCTTAATGCTTTTATATACAAAATAATGAGAGGAATCAATTGGTGTAAAGAAAACACAGTTGTTTTTAAGAAAAAATATGAAATTGTTAATTACAAATTATATATTTTTTTTAAAGACAACTGTATGTTTTCTTTACACTAATTGATTCCTCTCATTATTTTGTACATAAAAGCATTAAGATAAGATAATCGGAAAAATGAATATTTTACTAAATATTTTATGATTTATATAAAATTAAGAAATGATTTCCTCATAACTCAGAAAGTACTTAACGAAAAGGTACTTAATTATAGTGTTTTGGAAAGCTCTCGAGATAAGCTACAAGAATATGTAATAAAAAATAGAGGTTCCATTTAAGAAATTGAAGGTGACCTTTATGTGACCTTCAAATAACTGTTCAAGGTCAAACCAATGTTACTATCTTCTGTCCCCCTCGAAGTCAAGCAACTTTTATTTGAAACATTTTGTTGTACATTCAAAAATAAAAAAGTTATTGCCTTGGGTAACTTAAAATGGCTCACTCTGTATAATCATTTACTTTCTTCCTATAATTATTTTACTTCTTCATGCAGTCTTTTGAAAATCATCTACGTGGACGTGCGCATCAATTGATGATGGAAAAATTGGACGAATCATATAAATTAAAGGTCGATCTGATGAGACACGAGTTGCGAGTCGCCGAGGAGCAGCGCGAACTTAGCTTAAACAACTCGAAACGACGTGGCAAGAAAGTATGAAAATCATATCTTCTAAGAAAGTTGAACATAAATTTTGGATAGTAAACAATATTTTTTAATATATGTATACATAATGTTTTAATTACAGGTCTCTGTGGATTTCAATGTGAGAGAATATTGTACAATGTGCGATTTGAACTTTTATGGAACTTTATCTACACATAGAAAAAGTGAGAAGCATCAGCAACTGAAAACATTCTTGCATCCTCGATGCTTTCCTTGTCTAAAGGAATTCCCATCTCGTATAGAATATGACGAACATTGTTTAACACCTGCTCATATGAAAAATGCCGTTCAATGTGAGGAACAACGAAAAAATAAGAAAAAAGGTAATGAAGAAAAGGAAAAGTTAACTTTAGTTAATTTTAAAAAAATATAAATTAAAATTTAACTTTAGTTAATTTTAAAAAAATATAAATTAAAATTTAACTTTAGTTAATTTTAAAAAAATATAAATTAAAATTTTTTTTTACAGAAAAACTAGCAAAAGGAGAAGCTGAAGTTCGCACTGCAGAAGATGAAGAGAAAGATGTTTGCCATGACACAAAGAATGAAAAAGAAGAGGATTCAGGAGAACAAGAATATATTACAGATATTATTGAAAATATAAATGAAAAGAAATTTAAAGTGCCGTCGTATAAATATTGTCGTCAGAATCAGATCTTTATTGGTACGGATTATAAAAAATTGTAATATTAATATATAAATATATAATATAATACAAATTAATATAAATTAAATAATATAATATATAAATTAATTTCGTGCGTTCTTTGTATTATATTTATAAAAAATTATATTCAGGTAAATCTATGGTCAAGGAGGTTCAAGGATTTTATTGCGAGCGTTGTCGAAGATTTATGCTCCTGCCAGAAGATATGAATGCTCATCTACGCAGCATCACTCACTATCGAAACTTTTTAGCAGAGGTAAAATTGTTAACATCGAATACAACAGCTACAGAGTCAAAAGAAACTGAACAAACTGAGGTAAGCAACTTATGATAAGAATTGCTGCGTGAAAGAAGCTTATTTTGAACATTGTCATATTGTGTTTGTAGAGTGAGAAAAATGCCATTGAAGATAAGGAGGAATGCGACGGAAATCGAAAACGTCGCAAGCTCAGTCATGATGAAAATGAAGATAACGATAAATCGCTAGAATTGCAGGAAAATAATGCAGATAATGCAAATGCGGCACCAAAGAGATCAGATGGAGAGGAGAAGTATGATCCTTTAGAAGCCGATGCCGCCGAATCGGAAGAGGAAGAAAATCGCGAAGCGGAAGAAAGCATGAAAGAGATTAACGCGGAAAATCCTGCTAACGTACAGGAAAAAAAGACACCAGTTGATGAAATGTGGGCGGACATAGACAATGACAACGATGTGGAAATGGGTAATTTAGTCGATGATGTGGACGAAAAAGGACACGTAGATCACGAAAAATCTATTCAGAAGATAGATCGAAATCACAGTCCTCAAATAAAACCTAGAGGTCGTGGATTTGTACGTGGACGTGCTGGTCCGCGCGCTAGAAGATCTCGACGATAAAATAATAATGAGGTTAAACGTGCGAAAAAAATGTATTGAAGAGAGAATTTCAATTATATGTTTTGTGTGTTAAGATAAGTTTTAACAATACAAAAATATAAAACACGTTTTCTATTGAAGCGTATCTGGTGTAATATTACATATACTGTTATATTTACAAGCGTAAATATATAAATATATATATATAATAGTATAAGATTTTAATCCATAAAGTGATTATCAGAAAAGAAAAGGTACGCGCGAGAGATGTCAGAATTTTTGTACATGTATGAATTTTTAGCCACGTACAGTGTTATGAAAGCCGTTTTTTCGCACATGCATAGTAAGGTCTAGCAGCTCTGTGTCAAGGAGAAATATATAGCATTGATCCGTATATAATGTTGCAAAATATAATATACAGGTGTTTCTAAAACTATGTCGGAGATTTTAAGGGCGTATTCTAGAGTTTAAAATAAGAAAAAAATCTTATATAAACATGAGTCCAAAAATGCTTTTCCTCCGAGTTATAGCCCCCCAAAGTTGAGGGAAAAAATCGAAAGATGTATTGTAATTCTCGGAGACTTTTTCATAGAACGTTAAAGTTTTGCACAGCGTAATAATTAATAATGAGCTTCATTTTTATGTGGTTTTAACAATTTTTGCCCTCAACTTTAGAGGGCTATAACTCGGAGGAAAAGCATTTTTGGACCCATGTTTATATGAACTTTTTCCTATTTTAATCCCTAAAATACACCCTTAAAATCTCCGACATAGTTTTAGAAACACCCTGTATAGTTTTAGAAACACTGTACAGTAAAAGTAGCAAAATACATATATACTATACAGGGTGTCTCTAAAGTAAAGCGATTCAGTTTCGGAAACAGTTTTAGATATATGGAAAAATGTTTCAGGTTAAAGTTATAAGATATTGAGGAGAATAGATGATATGAAAATATGGATTTGACTTTGAGTGATCTTTTCAAGGTGAATGGGATCTATGTTTTCTCAAATAGAACTTTCCTTTTTTTATTACATATTCTTATAACTTTGTTGAGACGTTCTTACAACATTATAATAAAGTAGAAAAGGTCATTCAAGGTCAAATCCATTTTCATTTGTTTCCCTTATTAAAACTTTTGTCAAGAACATTTGTTCATATTTAAAACCGTTTTTCTGAAGCTGAGACTTTAGAGACGTACTGTATATAGTACATATTTTTCCTTAAATTACAAAAACTTTTGCAAAATTATGTATATGAATGATAATCTTATAATAATCTTTTTATACATATAAACATATATGTGTATGTATACACACACACACACACACTTGTATCTAATCTCTGTTGAGTCTTTAAAAATTTTCACACTTACAGCACTTAATACTTAACTCCTGTTTATGCAAATTATACATCATTACTAATCGTTATGGCCACGCATGTGCGAAAAAACGCAGCTCATCTCATATCACTGGCTGTGTGCATTATTACCTGTCTCCCAGATCTTGAACTCATCACTCGGATATGGCACTATTATGTATCAACGAAGAGAATTATTGGATATTGCATGCGATTAAAATTATATTTAGAGAAAACTGTATTTGTGTATATGATATCAAGAAATAGAATCTTGTATTAATATAAATGAGAGAGAATTACTATCAAAATTCCAATGTACGTTTAATACAATGATATACATAATCATAAAAGTACACATAATATTTAAATTTAGATTTTATATTGTCACAAGAGTATTTCTACAATTCCTATATCATTTTTTCATATAACAGAGAATTATAAGAATTTCCAAACTCTCCTTATGCTCGTGTATATAGATAAATAAGTTGTTCCTTTATTTCTTAGAAATTCAAGCTTTTTTAAAGCTGCATGCCGATATATATTGTATAATTTAAAATTTTATGAATTTATTAATAATTTCACTAGATCAGAAAAATTATGGAAATATTATTGAAAAGAATTATTGAATTGTATACTATTCTTTCACAATTTAACATATATTCAAAAATATGCTAAATAATTGAAAATTGTACTAAAAATTATAATTACATATATAAGAAAAATAACAATTTTCTAAAGGTTCAGAGAAAAATGCGTGTAGAAAATCCAAAATTTTAGTATAAGCTAATATGTGTCAATAGTCAGTATATTTCCTCTCCTAATTTTTCTTATAGCTCTTAATTTTTTAGGATAGAATTTTAATAAATTCTAAAACAAATTAGTATCAAATTTCATATTAATACTTTTTTATTTAAAACATAGGACATTTTCGGTCGGTTTTAAAGGACGCAATCGAGGCTCTGAAGAAAGGAATATGCTTTAAGAAGAGGATAGTAATAGATTTTCCAAGTAATTTTGTTTGCACATCTCCAAGAAGTATAAACGATATAGAATTCGATAGTTTTGTTTCAGAATGTTAAAATTCTATTTCAAAATATTAAAGGCTAGAGAAAGGCATACGTAAACAATAAAGATAATATGTAAACTAGATTAAATAGTTTTTTGACTTATATGCATTATTTTTCTCTGAACCTCTAGCACATAGTTATTTTTTAACTTGCACATTTTCCACTTTATAATTTTTCTTTCATATTATCGTATTATTTTTTTTTAATAATATAAAAATGTCTTTTCAGATAAGAAAAAGTGATCAATTGATCTGCATTTCTTATCATATAAGAATAAGATATATATAATACATACTACATTCACAAAAAATATTTTTTTTGCATCTATGTAGCACAAATTGTATTACAAATAAATCTTTAAACTATTTTAAACAGAGTTGAAATATTATTTATTATATTTAATATATATTAAAAATATGTACGATAATGCAAAAAGTAAGGTATCAATTGACAATAGTATAGAATGTGAAATTATGATATAAATGAATAATTATATATATATATATATATATATATATATATATATAATTAATAATTTTATATATATATATATATATGTGTGTGTGTGTGTGTGTGTGTAATTATTCATTTATATCATAATTTTACATTCTATACTATTATGTCAATTGATATCTTATTTTTTGCATTATTGTATATATTTTTAATATATATTAAATATAATAAATATTTTAACTCTATTTAAAATATTTTAAATATTTTAAATATATATATATATATATATATATATATATATATATATATATAATATATTATATGTGTGTATGTATTTATGTATATGTAATAAAATAAATTAAACAAATATTAAATGGATAATATATTAAGAATGTAGTAGAGATAATATGTATTACAACATTAATTTCCTAATTGTATTAATCTTTAGAAAGATGAGTAGATAGAAATTCATCTACAGAATCTGTGTCCCATTTATGTATATCCAATATATCTTCAATTCTATTTTCCTCATCATATAGCTTAATGATTGGATCTAAGCCTCTTACATATTTTATGCTAAGATTCTTGTATTTCTTTGGTCGATCACTTTTAATGAAAGCTGAAAAGAAATGTACAAGTTAATACAATTTATATTAAATTTTATACATGATCATTAGATTAAATGATTTTTGTCATCAAAAATAATTGGAGGTAGTATAGATACCCTGTATTTGTGGATATTGTCCAAATTTGCATGTGCAGACTTCAAGAACAGCCTTAGGATAACGCTTTGATCCCGATAAATCATTGTCATTGTCTTTTAGACAACATTCTTTACAGGTAGTGCTAATAAAATGAAAGATATGATTTATTTTAAATAATTTTGATAAAAAAATTAATAAGAAATTATCAAACATACAGAATTTTTGCTAATTCGGGATCGCTGAAGCGTTTGCAAGTCGAGCAAAGAACATTAGCTTTATTAAATCCTAATAATTTGCAATCATCTGCTGTAAATTCTGCGATAATAATGTCCATCTGTAAAAAGATATTCTTATTAGTTATTCTTATTAGTTATTTTTATTAGATATATATTAATGTCTGTATAAATGTTGTAAAAATTAATTCTTTGACCTTATATTATAATAAGTAACTGCTTTACATAAAAAGAAATATGAATTATTTTAAAAGAAAAGTTCAGATACACATAATTGTGGAAATTGCTCCATGTACAAAAATTGTTTCCTGTTACTTACCACAAAGATGAACAAGAATAAAACTGTGTATAATGAATAATTCATTTGCTTCTTCTTGTGTTATACAGTAGTTGTACAAGCTGTAGTTATACAAGCAAACTAAAAAGTAGAAATACACGTAGCACGCACTATATGATAAAAAGATTAGGTGAATATTTTGTTTTGTTTGCATATAAGGATGTTGCATAGGATGCGTTTCGAATTACGCATGAAAGAAAGCATCTCTTTTGACAACATCTCGATTGATCACAGCCAATTATATCGACCTGTGCCTAGGATAACCAGCAGCGATTAACCAATCAGAGAATCCTATTTTGAATTGGCCAATTGGCGACATGGGGTGCTTTCCATTTAGCGACACAAGTCGACACAAGCGTCATTCTATCTTTTTTCAATAAATAACAATAAACGAAGATAGAATGACACTTGTGTCGATTTGTGTCGCTAAATGGAAAGCACCATGGTCAATCGAATTCCATCTCGCATGAAAGTGCTGTCACCAGAGAGAAGTTAGCAGTGCGTTCAAAGATATGTTTGATCGGTGTTGGGAAAAAAGATAAAGTTGGCAGTATTGAAAACTCCCAGTGCTGCGTTTCGTTTTTCCCACTGCGATCATTAGGATTGTATTGTACCTAGAGAACCTCTAGGAGAGAGAATGGACAACTGATCATGTGACATGTGATCAAGTTTTTTCATGATTGGCTGGCAGAAAATGTATCAATTTTAGCTATTGCGACGCCAATGCAAAATATGATGACACACAAATAGGTTAATATATGTGTGTCATGTGTGTCCTATTTGTGTGTCATCATATTTTGCATTGGCGTCGCAATAGCTAAAATTGATACATTTTCTGCCAGCCAATCATGAAAAAGCTTGATCAGTTGTCCATTCTCTCTCCTAGAGGTTCTCTAATTGTACCGTATGTATGTACATACAATATATAAAAGTGTTGCAATTACATTAATTATTATTATGGAACAATATATTTTACTCGAAAACATCATTTTTGAATATATATATATATATATATATATATATTAGAGAGAGAGAGAGAGAGAGAGAGAGAGAGAGAGAGAGAGAGAGAAGGAGCGTCCCGTTTGACCACGTTGCGATTGACCACAGCCAATTATATCGACCTGTGCGTAGGGTAACCAGCAACGATTAACCAATCAGAGAGTCCTATTTTGAATTGGCCAATTGGTGACGTGGTCAATCGGGTGCCACTCGAGAGAGAGAGAGGGGAGAGGGAGGGGGGAGAGAGAGAGAGATAATAAAATTTATTTATCATAGAAATATATTTAATACACATAAACACCTTACAGAATTTGTATTACGGATATTTCGTGCACATAGCACGGAATATATATATATATATATATATATATATATATATATATACAGGGTGAATCATAATGGTTGTAACAACCTTTTACCATTAGAGATCAATTACCGACTGCAACTGTAATCAATTAAATGATTCATAGATGACTGCTGCTTGGATCAACCGTGTCTGCAGTATCGTACAAGCGAGTTAAATACTGTGGTATTCATAGTCCGATCTTATATTTGAGATCGTCTTAAGTTCGAGTTTGGAATGCTACGCAACTATTTGATTGGTTGAATGAGGTCTTAAGTCAACCTCGGACCAGACTTAAGACAATCTTAAATATAAGACTGGACTATGAATACCGGCCTGTGAATCAAATAATATACATATTCTATGCATACTTTTCTAATATGTTTAACTCTTTTATGTACATATTTTTCTTTCTATACGGTTTTTTCTAATAACGCGATTTCTTATTATTGTGAAACGTATCTGCATATAAAAATATCTTTTGTATTCGTGTATTTTTTAATACGATTTTTTTTAAATAATGGTTTTTTAATACATAGAATTTGACGGCGATTTTTTGCATTCTTACACAAATCATTTCAACACGTAAAAAGAGTTGGATTGGTAAAGATACAAAAGTATTCTTTTTTTATAAAAAATGCGTAATTCTGCTTTCTACAAGAATTATTCTGCTTATTATTAATTTTCTAAGTTATAACTTTTACATTCTTAATATCTACAGCAGAATATTTCTTGTATATATATATATATATATATATATATATATATATATATATAAAATAAAACAAATGCGACATTATTATATAATAGTGATTTGTTCACAATTTTTAATATTTAGCGCGCAGACTTCTTATTATTGTCAGATTCATTTATTATATATAATTACAATTCGTTCTATTGAAAACAAAAGATACAAAAATCAGAATAACAAACTCATGCACATCACTCATCACATTCGACTTATTATATTGATGGTTCTTAGGCAACCACAACTTAGTGACTCAAGCATTTTATTAATAATTTAGTCGACCACTCTTGCAAAAACTATATGATTTCAGCTATTCGAAATTTCAATTTTATAAAAAGCAATATTACTTTTGCAACATTCCAAAGAGAAAACAAGAAATAAAAAAGCTGGTATAATGTCCGCGGAATTTGATCTTTCGTCTTTGCGACTTATATTTAAAAAAAAGCATACTCATCGATAGAGAAGGTCTTATTCCTGGAAAATTCTTGTTTTGATTATCTCCGTAAACGTATACGTTTGCACATTTTCACTTGTGAACTTTTTTTATTATACACAGCCACGGTTTAATATATGATAATAACCGAGAAATGACACAGAAATTGCGACAAGAAAGTGGAAGATTACGATCAAACATGTGATTGCGTCAGATATATATATATAACTTGCGCAGTGAGAGGGCATGACAAGAGTCAATTATGTGGCTGCTATGTCAAGTATTTTTCTTTGCGTACATAGAAAAATAAATGTTAAATGTTAAATATATAAATTTAACTAAATAAATTAAGCAATATCGAGCTAACGTAGATGTAAGGCGTGAAGCAATAAAAAACTACTTCCATAATCCACATTTTATTGATGTCCAAGGACAATTAATGAAACGAGAATGAATTTCTCGTTCCGCTAATTGTCGGTTAAGTGTCGTTGGACATAGCGAGATGTTCGTGTCCTTCTCTGACGCGTTTTTTTGTGTCCGATGCAACTTTCCTTGCATCTTGTACCGTTAGGAGATTCATAGATCGGACGGTTAAGATGGTCGCGTAATGTCGAACTATTTTACTGTATTTCACTGAAGAAGGCTCGAAAAGAGTCCGAAACGTATGACTGATCATCAATAAAGTGTGGATTATGGAAGTAGTTTTTTTATTACTTCACGCCTTACATCTGCGTTGGCTCGATATTGCCTAATTATTTAGTTAAATTTATATATTTTATACTTGAGCCGTCAAGTTAGTTAATTTATTTTAAATGTTAAATGTTAAATGCATAAACGGTAGAGTTTGTTCAAGTAGATTACTACTTATATTGCATAGTATTTTTCTTTTGATAGTTGGAGTGTTCTTGTCATGCATATGTATTCCATTTATTTGGTTTTTTTCTATTCATCAGGACAAAAGTTCATGCATTTAGAATGCTATCTCTGTTTTTTCATAGATTTCTCCTGCCTTTTAAGGGGTAACACCACTGTAGCGGCCGAAAAAAAGGCCTAACTTTGACAATTTTTTTGGGGAATATAATAAAAGGAATGGGAATTTTTTTTTAGAGGGTTTATTCAGCATATATTTAAGTATAGAAAAAAATTTTTTTATTATTATTTTTTGTTAGAGTTAAGGATCGTCACGACTCAGGGGGTCAATTAAATAGCATCGATTTATAAGTAACTGTGTATTGCACTTGGGAGAAATACAGACGAAGTAAAGAAAACTCTGAGAGGATCACGCACGGCCCGGGAAAAAAACGAACAACAAGAAGATGATAGAAAAATGCCGCAGATGGCGACACTACGCAATCGTGGCGAGCCACCTATCTCTAACATTTTTGTACAAAATGGCAACGAGAGAGCTAATCTTCGAAATGATCTTTTTAAAAAACGCTTCCAATAGCGAACCAATTTCTCGTGAAATATAAGACCTAGAACAAAAAACCAAAAAAATTTTAAATTTATATACTATTGGCTATAGAAGTACGTAGGGATTTTTTATTTAATCAAATTTTGTAGAAACGGTGCACTTTTGAAAAAAAAATTCGATTTTTTGCCAAAAAATAAGCAGTAAATTGTTTATAAAATAAAAAGTTTACATCGAATCGAAAAACCCCTACGTACTTCTATAAAGGATGTAATTGTGAAGCTACTGTCAAAATTTCAAACTGATCCATGCAACCGTGTTGAAGTAATGTGTTCGCTAAGATTGAAAAAAGCGGTTTCGAGAAAAACACGTTAAAGTTTTACGAGCACTTAAAATGCTTGAAATTTATGTTTACCTTTAATCGGCGATGCCTGCACCATACATTTGGCCATCCAGATTGATGCTCGCCTCTTCTTCTTCCTTCCTAGATGATTTTAATTGCAATCGGGCCTCTTTTGCAGCATCAGTCAGCGATCGCTCCGAATACTTGATGCGGCGCTCGTCCGTTTCGACGCAGAAATTATAACAGTTTGTCCCAGTTTCATGCCTAAATTTTGCATGAGCCTCATGACACTTGATAGGCCATTATTATATATGCCTACAGCAATATATATGGCAATATCAAGCACATACTTGCCACTGGAGGTCGATTTCGGAGCCATTGACCAAACTGTCAAATTGAAACTCTCGTTGCTATTTTGAGTATAGCCGCCAATGCAACGAGTAAGCAGATCGTCGCTGCTTAATTCTTCATAAATTGGTAAAATTGCTTCAAAAACTGAAGTCAAGAGAGCTGGTTTATGCTTGTAATCGACATTACCAATGGCCTGTGCCTTTTGCCACGAGCACCACGAATTTTCTCCGGATGGGCATTTTTCGTGCTGCGGTTTCTCGTCGGTTGATAATTTATGGAATAGCGTCGCATAGATTTCATTCCGCATTTTTTCTACGGAATCATGATTGCGGCGTATAGCTAATCCATAATAAATTGACAATTCGTCGATCAATTTACCTGTCAACTTGCCTTTTCCTCCGAGCCCTTTTGTGTTTTTTTTTAAATTGCGAAGGCGAGTACCCATTCGTACCCTGTTGATCTTTTGAGTAACCCTAAGCATCTTCTGTACTATAAATAACAGGGCCACTTATTATCCTGAAAGGTAAAACAGGACAAAAGCGATGAATCCGAACGCGACGCGTTAATGCTCAAAGG